CATTTCTAGCAAAAGGTTTTGTAATAAAATGGATTTTCTTAAAGTTGCCAAATCGGGACTCTCATCTATGTTTCACATTGCACTAGCGAGACAAACTCAAAGAGATCGAGGGTTCTAACTATCTAACGCGCACGGGTACCTCCCGGACATGTTACAAACCCTAAAACCCTTCTCACCATGACCATTCACATTTTTTGTTGCTGCAATGTTTTCTGGTACAAGTGCAGCATGTGCACAAGTGTTAGTGCAATATGTCCACAATACGAGTAAAAACAAAGAGACGATTTAGAGAGAGAAAGAGAGAGAAAACAAAACTAGAGAGAGAGAAACTAAAACTCTAGAACTCTAATATAATTAACTATTTTACAATGCACACTATTCAATCCCTACAATGCCAATGTGCTTCACATCTCCCTACAAGCTAATGGGAAGTAACCATTACTTTGGAGGTTAAGAATTGAAATCAACAATTGAAAGAAATTTGGTAAATAAATCAACAATTTGTTTCTTGGTTCTTATATGATAATGTGCAATTCCTTTTTTCATGGACAAAGTGGTAATCAACATCTATATGCTTATTTCGTGCATGAAAAATGGATTAGAGACCATTGCAATATCTGAGAAGTTGTCACACCAAATTATAGAAGACTGTTAGGTCGGTGGACCCTGACAAGTACTGTTCCCTATCTCCTGAAAAGCATTCAAGTGAAGATCCTGAGCTAAAGGTATTAATAAAAGAAATTACCAATTATTCAGAACAACAATCCGAAATACTCACGCATATTTCAGTTCCATCTGAGGAGTCTACTCGTGCTCTCAACTCTACATCCTCAGCAAGTGGTGGTCCAACCAAAATGCGCATGTGTTGGACACCTGAGGCCTTTGCTGAAGCAGTCAATAAACTTGGTGGCAGTGAGAGTGTGTGACTCTTCTCACCTTACAGTACTTCTTAACCTCATTTGCCCCTAAAATTACGAGATCCTTTTTGGCTCCGTTCCTGTTTTTCAATACTGTCACTGTGCAGTAATTCATTTTGTATTTTCTTTTTTGTAACTTACTGCGTGATGTAGATCTTTAATACACTAATTTCTTATATTATCTTTCTTTTTTTTCACTGTCAATTTTATTGGCATTTGTTGTGATGCTTATGGTTGTGTATTTCACGGTTACTTGAGTCTCAGTACTCTGTCATGAAATGCTAATTGTCTTTGCAAGTCAACTCCTTCCCTCAGACTTCTTTCTTTCTTTCTTTTTTCCTGGCTCAAATTTCTAGGCCTAAATCTAATTTTTACTTCGGTAGTTATCTTGAATTCTTTACCTCATGGACCTAACAATGGTGAAAAAGTGTACGAGCTGTGGCAGTACCATATTAAGCTAGTCATTTTCTTGATTTGCAGGTTCTTCAGAGAAAAAGTTTACCTGCATTGAGGAAGTCGCATCTCTGGACTTGAAAACGTAAGTAGATTGACTTGGATGCACTTAGATGTATATCTATCTTGCAACGCAGCATTTTCTTCTTGTGCTTGAAGGGAATTAGATATCGTACATCTTTGAAGTATTGATGCATCTGGTAGTTGTGACTCATTTAGATTTCCAGAGACTGTCATTCACCTATTGTTGCCTGGATTATTGAATTAACTTAGACATGCTTTTACATTTCTAAGTATTAATGGGGGAATTAAAATGTTTTGCTATTTTGACTTGATTATGATGAACGTTAGAGGTGATGTGCAGTTTTATGAAGTTGGGAAAAGATACATGGTTTATAATTTTTATTAATAAGTTTTTCTTGTCTCAGTTAAGTGATATGCATTCAACTTTACAATTTATGTCTGGGGAACCCGGAATTATATCTTTGCCTTGAGATGTGTTTTAACCAGGAATTAAGTAGCTACTCTTTCCATCTAAAGTAGCTCAAGTAGTTTACACAAATTTCTTGGTCAAGATTGGTGGTGCATTGTAGCTTATGGAATTATTTCACCACTGATGGCGACACATTCTAATGACTTGTTACTGCATGCCACTGTTTGATTTGCGTTGCCTTGCATTTTTTATGACAAGTATTAGCTCGTTTTATGTTTTTTGTTTTATTTTTTTTTAAAAGGATTTTGGCGCACAAACACATACACACTCTCTCTCTCTCTCTCAATGCCTTCGAAGCTTTTTGCCTCTTGATGCAACTTAACCTACTAGTTCAAATTCAGTATCAGGTTGTTTCCCATATGGATTGCTAGACTGGATTTATTCAGACCTCTTAACTTATATGTGGGCAGGGGTATTGAGCTCACTGAAGCAATACGATTACAGATGGGAGTCCAAAAGCCCTTGCATGAGCAGTTAGAGGTATGGATTTGTTTATCATAAATGGATTTTATTTTTATTTGATTTGTCACTTCTTGATCCTGATTGCAGTTTACTGGAAATAAAACTAGTAGAAAAAATTTAATGCTCCCACTATTAGATCTATTTGAAGCCTGCTGCTGACTTGTTAGCAGCTTGATGCATGCCTTGAAAACCAGCCATTAGGGTTTGTTTTGCTCATTTTTAATAGTTATCACAAAAAATGAAATTACAGAAATCAAGACACAAGGCACCTTGAATTTGTTTCTCCATTCCAAACTGGCTTATTATTTGACCTTGCTTTCCTTTCTCTTTCTAGTCTGTAAGCTTTTTTTTAGTTCATGAATTTTCTTTTGTTTCACTGTGGTACTCATTTGGTTAGCCATTCTAGTTGCATACACTCTCCTTGTTGAGTAACAAAATTTTAAAAGTTAAAAATAAATTTCTTGAGCCATTGAAGATAATTTATAGGCAGGTACCGTTTTCTTTTTATTTTTTTCCTTGAAGAATCTCATACATCTTCCTCAAGAACAACATATAGAAATGCAAGAACCCCCTTAATCCATATCACCGAGAACGATCTTTCTAAACTTTAAAATTCCATTTCCTTTGATGTCCCCAGTAAATGGATGTTTGTCATTTTGTCATTAGAAATTACCGCCGGATGGCCTTGTTGCAACCATGATAGTAGGAAATTGGTGGCTCTTGTTGCCATAGCCATCTATTATTTATGGATACTGATTTTTTTTGTCACTTTTTTTTCTTCTTTTCTTTTTAGTTTTTATTTTTTGCAGATTCAAAGAAATAATCTACAGCTGAGAATAGAAGAGCAAGGGAGACATCTCCTGATAATGTTTGAGAAGCAATGCAAAGCAAGTGATACTTTGAAGGCGTCATCCATCGTCGTTGTCTGCCCCCACCCTGGAAAACTTCTTTGCTAATACTGAATGATATAAGGAGCTTTGAAACTCTGATGTTCAGATTTGCTCTCTCTCTCTCTCTCTCTCTAAAATTCTCAGGACATGTTTCTAGAGTTTTGGCAGAAGAAACAACCATTCAATAACCTCCAAGTGTTGAAATTTCCTATGAACCCAACTGGGATTAGCTCTACTTTGATGAGATGCATGTATCATCAACCTTCTAATAATAAAACAGCTCCCAAATTTTGGTTTTATGTAACAAACTCGAATTTACCAAATTGATGTATCCTAATTGTTTCATGCATGTCTCCCTGTAACTACATTGAACCACATTGAATTCCAAGCATACAAGACAACAGAAAAATATGAGAACAGGCATGAAAAACAAGCAACTAAACCTCATTTTTAAAAGTAGCCAACCTATCTAAAACTATCCTAACATAGCCAGAATCCTGGTCCATATCCTCCCCTCCCCCTTCTTGGGCATAAATATACTATGCTAATGCTTTCCCTCGTTTCAGTTGCTGGCTTGGGGTCAGTTTTAAACCCCTCAGAAGGCTAGTCCATTACCTTGCTAATTAGTGCTTTTCACATATGGAATACAATAATAAGCTTGCGTTCATAGTTCTTTTTGCTGCATGCTATGAATTTAATCCCAGGTAATTTTATTCCTTGATCTAGTTTTTGAGATACATAGACTGAATTTCGCCTATTGGGTAAATGCTTGGATTTTCTTATTTGAATTTGCCAATGTCTTCAAAAAATTTCATATTTTCATTATTTTCACATATGAACCTTCATCAGAGAGTTGGAACTTTCTCTTCTCTTTTGTATTAATTTGGAAATCAGGTTTGTAATGAGGTCATTTGGATCATTCTCCTCAATTCAGACCCTATGGCAGCGCCATTTTCTCTAGGGTAAAAATTACACCATTAGTCATTGTAGTAAATTACAGCATTTCTTTAGGGCATCCTCTTACAAGCCCAAAAGGGTAGGCACAAAACATACACACACTTGAAAACTCAAAAGTAAAGGCAAATAAACAACTGTCACAACTCCAGAGCGTAGGTAAAACAACAAACAAACTAAACAAAAACTAACCCCCATTCTTTGACCTACTGGATTTATTTAAAGGTTTTCGGCATGATTTCTTGGGCTGGATGTAAAGGTATGCAATAACTCTCTCCAGATAAACTCAGGTTGTGGATCTTGTTTTCCAGGCTTCCTTTATGTTTTCTTCCCTAGATGGAGGAGCACTTCTCATGTCCCACCGACTTAACACCACCCTTATTACAGGAGCTCTCTCCAATCAACACTCTTAGTTTCCACCACTTCAATACTGCCTTCGTGAATTTATCTCAATATGCCCAAAGGTTTGGCATTTTATTCGGACAAGGGGTCCCCATTGATATTTACCTTTTACTACTACACTATCACCAAAAGTGTATTTGAATTAACTTCCACACAAATTTTAGTGAGGCTGATTTTATTGGTGGTTACTATCTGCTCAAGATCAAGAGGCCTTTAAGTTTCTAGGTTTGAACTAATAACTTGCATCAATTCTATCTCCTCTGTCGCTGTCAGCAAACTGATCCATATGTGATCTATAACATCTGTTGCATTTTATTTGCAGTGAACTGATCCATCTGTTGATAAGTAACAGAACATGTTTATTCTTGTTATCAAGCTCTCTACACAATTGGAGGATTTCATTTGTGTTTATTTCAATTTATTACTATGTAATTGGATGGATCTAATGCCTTTTTAATAGGTTTAACTAGTCAGGTAATTTTAAAGTTTCGCAAATTACAGGACATGGGATGTAGGGTACACCCGGGAATATGGGCTAGAGAATATTTTTTGGCCTTCAACTAGTGTTTAAAAGGTCTAAAATAACATTGGGAAAAACTATTAATAGGTCTTAATAGTTGGACCTAATTCCCATCAAGTCCTATTGAAAATAAATCCTAATTCAATTGTCGCTAAAAATTATTTTTTTGTGACAATTTTTTACACATGTCGCTAAAAATGGACAATTAGTGACTTTTTTTTTATCATAGTTTTTATAAATTGTCGCTAAAACTTACAATTAGTGACGTTTTTCCGTGACAAATTTTTAAAACTGTAGTTGAAAGTTAAAAATTAGTGACGATTTTTTTTAGACTGTCATTAAAACTTATAATTAACTGTTGCTAAAAATTAACAATTAGTGACGTTTTTTAATAGTGTATGATGAAAAATGTCATTAATTAGCATAGGACCTATTAGACAATAAATCCACTTAATAAGATCTGCACGCAAGTCCCCCAAAATATTATCATCCGTAGAAGTTCCAAAGTAACCTATTTGTGAGACACGAAAGACAAAATTGATATCTCAATTCATAACATTGGAAACTATTTTCCTGAGCTCCTCTAGCAATGGAAGTTGAGAGAAATTGGGGGGAAAGGGGACGATCAAATGGAGAAAGCCTAATGCTCCATTTGGCTCATAGGAATGAGAAAGAATGGAATGGAATGGAATGATCATTCCTTAAGCTCACCTATGGAATGAGCATTTCTTTACAATGGTGAATGATGATTCCAATTGCAATGCATTTTTCTTTATTTTTTTAGTCAACCAAACATAGGAATAGATATTTTGATGGAATGAATGACCATTCCATTCCAGTGAACCAAACACTACCTAAAGAGAGGATCTAAAGAAATAAGCTCTCAACTTTCCCATTTTTCTCAGCTCCACAACCACACTACTTATTCCAAATTCTCATGAGAAAGACACTAATGAGATTTTTCTCAGCTTCAAAAAATACACTAACATAAAAAAAAAAAAATTCTCAGCACTAATGACATTCTCATTTCACTTATAAGTTGGCCAAAGTAACAAAATTTGAAATAAGAATTTCATTACAGTTAGAACCAAAAAAAAAAAAGGTCATAATTTTCAAAAATCAACTTCTGAGAAACTATATTTGTTCTGGAAAAACGGATCAATAAATTTCATCTTGTTAATAGAAATTTTAAGCTGAACAAGGTTGAAGAGGACAGTTAGTTTAGAATTCATATCAGATAACTTTATACAGATTTAATGATCCTTAGAAGGAAAAGTATGACATATTTGTACTTTCCTCATCAACTAAAATCAGCAAAATTCAGTTTCAAATGTAAAGAAGTTCAGCTTGTTACAGGAGAAAACCAAAGATATGGTGTTTACCATTATTCAAATATCAAAGCACACTATTTTGCAGAATCTAACCCTTGGTTCTCAGTGGTCGAAGTGATCTGCACACAGAATAGAACCAGTAAATACAACCATCAGTACGAAACACGATGTTTGGCGGTAACATAGTACTATAACACATTATGACACGCTAACAAACTTCAATAGACATTTATAAAACTTAATCCTTCTAATTACTTTACAAAGAGAAGTACAGACAAGTTCAACCTGATATCCTCTTCTGAGCCATTTTCAATTAAATTACTATTCTGTCATTAACTTTAGACAATAGATGGTGTCTTTGAAGGAGACAAAAAAGAGAAAAGATGGGTCTATATATTTTTCCATCAATAATGAACTAAATTAAATCGTATTATCAATTTTCAAAATCTAGTCAAAAAATGCAGCTGCTGTTATGTAATCTTGTTTAAAATGTGAAAAGCCTCGGGTCAGAAGAAAAAGAAACCCTTGTTCAATCAGGTCAGAATTTCCAAGCACAGACATAACAGTATTCTGTAGGACCTAACCCCAATTCTCAGCAGTTGAAGCAGGATCCGCTGAAAGGATCTAACAGCAAATGCAATTGTCAACCATCAGTCTTTATAAAGCGCAAATGAAACCAAAGAAATATGATACCTTAGGGAGACTCCTAGGAAAGCCCTCCAGAGAACTGAGTTGCTCCTATACAATCTTGTTTCAAATTTGTTGTTAGATTCTGAAGTTGGAACTATAAAAGCCACTGCCTACCAATCAATCCTTCCATGCAAGACCAGCTAAAACAATCATCATAAAAATAAAAATGTAGAAATAGAACTGAACAGAACAATCCTACCTATCAAGTCTTTGATTCACGGTATTCAAACAAAAATAGAACTGAATTGCGAGCAAACAAGTTAAAGACACTGATAATAACAAATAATTTAAATAACTATCCAATACAATCCAGGGCCCTTGCAAAATCTAGACTAGAAACAAAACAGAAAAAACACAAATTAATCGAAAAAGGGCTGGCTAAAGTTGAGTGTATGTAGAAAATAACAACTTAAAAAGAGGACATGATCGTCCTCCACAAGAGCGAGTAACAGAGAAACAAGCACTTCAGAAAGAAGGCAAGACCCAAGCTGGAGGACAAGTATAACTAAGGGATTCTCCTTTGTAGTTGAGTGGTTCCTTGCTTCCATCTTCCAAGTTGTAAACACCCATGTCCTTCCCACCTCCTGGGTTGTTGTCAACTGGGTATGTGTACATGTCCATGTAATCGTCAGTATAATATATACAATTGGGCTTGATTGCTGGGAAAAACCTAGAGGCATCAACAGAGATGGAAGCACTGTGACCCAAGAAGAGTGCTCTTCCCCCCAAATTGTTAATCTCTTGCCATCTCGCCTCCTTGCTCAAATCAACCTCATACACTTTAAAGGAAGTGGTCTCATAAGTTGGGTCTGTGTCGTCACCTGGATGTATTACACATCGCGCAACCACCAATAATTCTCCACCCGATTCAACCATGTAGGGTTGCATACACCGAAGCAATTCACTTTTTATTCCTCCAACTTTTCGTGCCACTGTTGGATTAGGACCCCCAACGTCCCAAACAAAAATCGAGCCTTGATTATTTAATGCATAAAATTGGCCCTTGTAATAAATAACATCCTCGTACGGGGAATCACGGGTTTCTATGACAGTCCAAGAATTCTCTCCGCCGGGTCTCCAAAAACCGAGGTGCTTGGCAGCTCCGTGAATAACCATGAGTACGTAGGTTGGAGTAAGAGAAGGGGATGCAGATAAAACTGCCTTGAATACGAAATCCACAGGATCCATCGGATGCTGGTGAAAATATTTGAAGGTAGTTTGATGGGGAAGCCCAATTTGAAGGCGTGAGAATGGATGCAACAGTCCCATCTCGCCGTCTTTTGTTATGGTTACCAACCATCCCAGTGTTTCAAAACAACGTTTACCTCTGGCTTCCGGCAGAGGGACTTTGTGAATCATGCCTTTCGATAGACTGAAAAATTCACGCATATTATTATTAATGCCTTCTTCTTCTTCTTCTTCTTCTTCTTCTTCTTTTTCAGAGAGCATGAGCCAGGGAAGTTGAGGGGAGGACGTATTGAAATTTTGCTTGACTGCAACAGATCGCCATGAAGTGCATACACCACCAAAAGCAACAAAATCTTCAAACGAATCTACTCGATTCACAATCAGAATCAAAACATCTGGCACAATTTCTGCCCAATTTCCCATTTATATTTTGTACCTAAATATCTTCCAACAACAACTCAAACGTTCCAACTTCGAACCCAACCTTGTTACCTTGGAATAACAAGAAAAACCTACAAGACTATGTATTTATAACCCCCACAATCCGCCTAATGTAATTCAAACCTAATCGCAATAGGAATAGGAATACTAGGAGACAGTTTCAGTGAGGTTTGGAGTCTCACTATTATTTATTACGATAAATTACAAATAAACTCTTAAAATACGAATTGCTCCATATAGTTTGGAAAATTATAAATATTTTATTGTCAAAAATTTTTTATTTATTAGAATTAACTAAGAAAATAAATTCCTAACTATTTTTCTATATAATAATAAAATTATCTGAATTATTAATTGAAATAAAATTTTAACATCATTAAAAACTGTTAATTAACTTGATAATTTATTAATAAAATGACTTATTTATTATGAAATTAAAAATCTTAAAATACATATTGTAATTTCTAGAATTACAAAAAATAATTCGTAATTTAAATAAATCTTAGAAAGTGTTTGTTTGTAATTTAACCTATCAATTATTGTCTGGTTGAAACAGCAACTCAACAACATAGCACAAGGAATAGATCCCGACATGTGCTCTTTTAATATTACGAAGGTGAAATAGAACACGACTTGTGTTTTTTTAAGATTATGAGGGTGCGTGAGGAGAGATTACTGATATTTTACCCCTCTGAACTTGTCTTTCAATAATAGTAACTTAGTAAAAAGATATCACGTCTTATAATTTCAATCCATCATATTAAGTTGGGACATAATGTGACTATGTCTCAATATCACTACATAATTTTTTGTTTGAGGTATAACTATTTGAAAAAGTCGTAAACAAAACTAATAAGAATGATATGATGAAGAGTTTTGACATAGGAGGTCAACATGATACTTCTCAATTATTTAGGAAATCTTCGTATAAATAACCAAATTTTTTATATACAATTTTGTCTTTAAATTTAATTACTTGAAAGTAGGGTTGTACAATAAATCTAGTAGAAACAGTAAATCAGTCCAAATCGAACAAAATCGTATAATTAGTTTTATTCAGCGAGTCCTAAAAAATGAACGATTCGAATCACCAAAATTGGTCCTAAAATGAACCTGTTAAACCCAAATGCGGTCTTAAGTTGATATGGCCAACATGAGAGAAGTCCAACCCATTATTCAAAGCAAAATGCTTCAATTGCTTATGCCAAGTGTCTCGTTTCTCTATAAAAAAAAAAAATTAAAAAAAATGGGGCAAATTACACTAATAGTCCCTATAGTTTATCTCTTGTGTCAATTTGATCATTGTGTTTTCAATTTGCTCAATTTTGACCCTCAATTTTTAATTTCGTTTCATTTTGGTCGTGTCACGACCCAAACTCGCCTCTATGGGTTTAACATCGTAACCGGCCAATAATCCGTGATTACCAAAAGCCTGCTTAACAGTAATGACAGTAATACAAAGTAAAGGGGCTGGCGGAAGCCAAAACAGTAAATAGAAGATGTCCAATGAGCTGTGAGAATCTGAATGCAAAAGACTTTTCTGAACATATTCACATTGGATACCAAAACAATATATACATACGTCATATACAGACATTCAGGTTAGAGACCAAATCCCAACCATAACAGTACAGTGCCAGTCTAAACATTTTATTACAGAATAGAGGCAAAAGGAGAAATCTAAAACACCCCAAAACAACCTTGGCTTTAACGCACTCGGAACCTCGAAGTGAGGCACAAAGGTTGGCTTTGACAAAACGGGAGCTTAGCCTGACGCTCCTAGCATCGGTCAGGTGCCTGGACACCTACATATATATGTAAACAGTGAGCTAAAACCCAGTGAATAACAGCTATGTAAAGAGGTTAAGAATGAATGGCCTTTCAGTAATTAAACAGTCATATTAGTCACTTAGAAACCATAGCAGTCATAGGTCTATTCAGTGAGTCCTAAAAAATGAACGATTCGAATCACCAAAATTGGTCCTAAAATGAACCTGTCAAACCCAAATGCGGTCTTAAGTTGAGATGGCCAACATGAGAGAAGTCCAACCCATTATTCAAAGCAAAATGCTTCAATTGCTTATGCCAAGTGTCTCATTTCTCTATAAAAAAAAAATTAAAAAAAAGGGGGCAAATTACACTAATAGTCCCTATAGTTTATCTCTTGTGTCAATTTGATCATTGTGTTTTCAATTTGCTCAATTTTGACCCTCAATTTTTAATTTCGTTTCATTTTGGTCCTGTCACGACCCAAACCCGCCCCCATGGATTTAACATTGTAATCGGCCAGTAATCCGTGATTACCAAAGGCCGGCTTAACAGTAATGACAATAATACAGAGTAAAGGGGCTGGCGGAACCCAAAACAGTAAATAGAAGATGTCCAATGAGCTGTGACAATCTGAATGCAGAAGACTTTTCTGAACATATTCACATTGGATACCAAAACAATATATACATACGTCATATACAGACATTCAGGTTAGGGACCAAATCCCTACCATAACAGTACAGTGCCAGTCTAAACATTTTATTACAGAATAGACGCAAAAGGAGAAATCTAAAACACCCCAAAACAGCCTTGGCTTTAACGCACTCGGAACCTCGAAGTGAGGCACAAAGGTTGGCTTTGACAAAACGGGAGCTTAGCCTGACACTCCTAGCATCGGTCCGGTGCCTGGACACCTGCATATATATGTAAACAGTGAGCTAAAGCCCAGTAAATAACAGCTATGTAAAGAGGTTAAGAATGAATGACCTTTCAGTAATTAAACAGTCATATCAGTCACTTAGAAACCATAGCAGTCATAGGTGGTCCATCCCATAGCAAAACAGTACAATAGGTCTTAACAGATCAAGCAGTCAGTTGATGGCTATCATAACAGCAAACAGTAGTGGTTCCAAACATGGGAACCAACAGAGATCTCTGTGACAGTAGCAGTAACAGTACAGTAACAGTAAATTGCTATGGATGCCACGGATACAGTTTACAAATAGGACAAACATTCATTCATTAAACAATAACGTTTCAGTAAACAGAACAGTTGATCATTCAGAAAATATTCATAATTGAACATATCTTTACAATATTGTTACTCACAGAGCACTGGGCTATAAGCAGCTAATGAACGTCCTCAGATGCCAATCCTACATAGTTACAGAACGAACACACACTAAGTTACACACTTAGGAATCAACAACTTAGTCCCTATCTTGACTCGATGTGGTTCTACATCAATATCCTCTTTAAGATGCCTTAAACATGGCCTAGGAATGCCTATGATGGAAAGAGGATACAAAGATGCATTTTAAAACACTTTTTAAAATTTTCAGAAAGCAGGGGTCTCGCTCGAGCGTGGATTTCTACGCTCGAACGGACATGCAGACAAAGGAGATCTGCTCGAGCGTGAATTCCTACGCTCGAGCGGACTGTAAACCTCAAAAAGTACTGGATGCATGCAATTCACGCTCGACGGACACGTGACCTCTACTCGAGCGTGAGACTCAGGTCCTCGCTCGAGCGTGAACTCTCTCGCTCGAGCAGACTGTAAAACACAAGAACTTCTGGGTACATGCATTTCATGCTCGAGCGCAACTTTCCACGCTCGAGCAGAAGTGCACGACTCAGAAGGTATGCTCAAGCATGAAGTCCTACGCTCGAGCATGGGTCCAAAGTCTGGAATTTCCACATTCATCCCCAAGCACAAAACTCAAGCATTTAAGCCTCAAACTCGATCCTTTTGGGCTAATTTTCTAGAAAACACTTAAAAACCCATAATACAACATGTTTCAAAGATCAATTTTGTAAAGTCAAGCCCAAAGGTAAACCAATTAAACACCAATTTCAAATAAACTTCAAGAACAAGATGTACACTTAACATGCATGTGTTTAATTGAATTCAAAGCTACTAACACATGACCAAATGCAAGTTTTAGCTCAAGAACAAGATGAATTCGTGGACCTCTACTAAAATATGGACATGCATGTAAGGAATTCATGCAAAACAACTTCAAATTTCAAGAACATGTACATGCATGCATGAATTCACTCTCAAATTCAACTCTTTAAACCAATTCTTGACTTTAAACTCTAAATTACCATGAACCATGCAAGATACAACTCAAATTCACAAATGAGAGAATGAAATCTCTACCTTAGGTCTTGAATTCAATGTATGATAGCTCAGATGTGCAATTCTCTTCCAAATCTTCTAAGTTTCCAAGCAAAACTCTTGATGAAACCAATTTTCCTCTACTCTCCCTCTCTCTCATGGTTTTCCTCTAGAAAAGGATGAAGAATGATGCAACTAAGCTCTAAACAACATTTTTGACAAAGCAGCCCACTAATATGGCAAAAATGTAATTAAGTCCAACTAATGTGCATTAACTTAAATAACTCTAATTTAATCATTCCAAATCGAATTTAAATTAAACCTACCATAAAATCACCCAAATTCTAATTAACATAAAATACCAATCAATTTTTTATTCGGTCACCGATAAGACCTTCAATTCGCCATTCAAAGATAAAACATGAACAGATCATTTAATGACTAACATATAGAAATGCAATCAAGAAACATACTCATGCAATCAGTTTAGGATTTCATCCTAATCAGTTACTTATCATGTTTAGCCACAGTTTAGCAGTAATTAGAGGCGAGGGTTGTCACAGTCTCCCTTCCTTACAAAGAGTTTGGTCCTCCAAACTCGAATTACCTTCATTTTGAAAGAATACTGGATCCAGAGGGAACAGTTCAGGATACCGTTTCATCATATCGTCTTCCCTTTCCCAAGTGGCATACACGCCACCATGGTTTTGCCAATCCACTTTCACTAACGAAATTTCTTTGTTCCTCAACTTCTTGATTCGTCGATTTACAACCTGAATAGGCCGTTCTTCATAAGTGTAATCATCACTTAGCACTACACAGGTAGGCTCAATTACATGAAAGGGAACCCAAAGATAATCCTTCAACATTGAAATATGGGAGACATTATGCATATGCTCCATTTCAGAAAAAAGCGCTACTTGATACGCCACCGGATTAATCTTCTCAATGATTTCATACGGCCC